CCAAGACTCAACCCAAGGAGCTCATCCCCGTTTGCTAAACCAATGTTCGAAAAGATTACATGCTCCGACGCTGTTCATGAATCCCAAGACTGTCCAAGCAACCGACCTCATTGATGAACTCGTAATCGGCATGTGAATCCTTCTGCATGGAGTACTCGAACTTTCTGCCGTGCGACGGCTGCGCCCGTGCGGCAATTCTGGAGCGCTTGGCACGGGCTATGAGTCCAGCTGCTGCAGTAGCCAGGACTGCAACACCATACATGGCCGTGGAGCCTCTCGTGACAGGGGGCAGATCAGACACTTGACGGGACTGACTGGAATTGACACATTGCTCTAGTAGACAATAGCAGCGCCTCTTGTAAAGTTTGCACTCTGTATTCGTGCATCCACTGTGGCATGGGACGAAGCAGATGGCTTGCCCACTGCATGGCGCGGAACCACGAAGTCAAGACCAAGGGCCGTCATAAGTCCAAAGGCACACAGGACATTCACAATCTTTGACCTGGGCTTTAATGCGTTTGACGCTTCCCTTTGGGGGGAACGCCCATCGGCAAATAGTGTACAATATCAACAGCATCAAATGGGGTCGGTCCTTTGACGTGTCTGTGCATTGTGTGTGTGTGTATAGAAACAATTTCAACTCTTCAGGAGAAGACTAATTCACCATAACGGCACTGATTGCTCTTACTCCTGCCCCTGCTCCTGCTCATCCTGCTCTTGCTCCTCCTCCTGTTCCTGCTCCTGCCTCTCCTGCTGCTCCTGCTGCTACTGCTGCTACTGCTGCTACTGCTGCTAAACTTCTGCCGCTGCAGCTGCTGATGCTACTGCTATCGCTACTGCTACTGCCACAACTTCCACTATCACTACCGCTACCATTACCGCTACCACTACCTCTGCTGCTGCTACTACTACGACGAACGACGACTTCCTTCTGCTATGACTTCCTACTACGCCCCACCACCGCTGCCACCAGCACCACTACCCGTACCGCTATGCCGCTATGCTACCACTATACCAGTACCACTACCACAACGTTGGCCAGGACCGCGATGACGACCGCCCACCGACCCCTACTCACCCTCTACCTACCCCCACCTCCACCTCTACCCCTCCCCCTACCGCTATGACGACCGGCACTACAACTACCGCTGCTGCCAGCCACTGCAACTGCCACTGCCAGTGCGAGCACCACTACGACGCTTGTTGCTGGCGTCAGCCGCCACCGCAACTCGCACATGGACTTGCTGACGAAGTGGCATCGTCTGATGAACGTCCAGCTTGGTGATCGACGAATGGGCTCGGTGCAAAAGACCCGCTTGAGCACAGCGACAGCAAAGCGTGCACATCAAAAAATGGATAATCGTGTGCTCAGCACGAAATCCGAATAAAGCAAGGAAACAATGGTTGGGGACATCTCACGTTTTTGCGCAGCTTGCTTTGAAAAGGTGACCGGTGCGCCGCCACCTGCCCGCAGCTGCTTTGCGTGCACCGTCGAGACATGCAATCACACGCGGAACAAACATTGAAGAGAGAACATCATACTCTTCTCGGGCTTCCATTCGCCTCAAGGCCCGCAACTACTTCCCGCAGATGTTTTCAACCAGAAGCCCAGCCTCTCACCAACGCCTACCGCGCAATCTTTCCAAAACTCTGCCGACACAGCAGACGAAGACAGCCAAACGGAAGAAAATCAAAGTAACAGTTAAGGGAGACACAAAAAACCCAGGAACACGGCAATGGCCATCAGGCAGACATGAAGGAAGACAACAGGAGACAAGGAGCCCAGGAACCCGGCAATGACCACCACGGACACGGAGACATGAATGGAAACAAGAACATAGCGAGACAAAGGGAGACAAGGACCCAAGGAACCCAGCATTGGCCAGCCACACGACAAGGAGACATGAAGTGAGACAAAGGAAGACGAGGAGCCCAGGAACCCGGCCTTGGTCACCAGGATGTCGGCATTTTCTTTAAACGAACTGAGAACCTCTACAGTAAACCGTTTGGGGAAGAAAAAAATAAAAACCCCAGAAAATATTGCTTCGGGAAACATCGATATAATAGCTATATTTTGCCTACCTTGTTTTCGCGCGTGCACTTGCATTTTGGTAGCAAAGGCTGCGTGTTCGTTTGGACAAATCCATTGCACACCAATAATCTGAGCCCTGTTCCCCGAGACTTGTGTGCTTCTGGCGCCTGCTGGCTTCATGTGCCCCAGTTGTACCGGCGGCAAGCCTCGAGCCGGGATAGCTCATTCCCAGTTTGCGTAGTCCTCTGCGCTGGCGAATCTTGGCAGCGGAATCTGTCTGCATGATGCAAGGCGTTGATGAGCTGCTCTCGCGAAGCGATGCCAAACTGGATGATAGCCCGCGCCAAAGTGCGATGTCCGAGGCAAGTGTGAACAAAGCCGTTGAAAGCATCACGACCCCGCCTGATGCCACGCTGCTCCAGCTGCTCTTGCTCCCACTGCTGCCTCCACAACGCCATAGCCTGGCCAAACTCATCCAATGTCAGCACCTTGGGTTGCGGCTGCGTTTTGTAATCTTGCAGCCCACCGCAGACCGGCCCTACCCGACTGAACAAATCCTGCGTCCACCCGCCGAACGCTTGAAAGGGATGGATTCCTTACATCCGCCTTCAGCCACTGGGGAGACACTTTTTCGGAGATAAGGCCCTCTTACGTTGAAAGAAGCCGTTTCTGGACGGTTATACGGCCTATTTCTATCGGCCACTTCTTCTGCAGCAAGATTCAAAAAAAGTGACTTGCTTACATGTGCCAGAAATCTTACCAACGGTCGTATATCATCTAATATGTCGTCCAAATTTGCCGCTTCTAGCCGTCAGAAGCCCGTAAAGCGATTTCCTACATGTCCTTCGCAATCACCACAAGCCAACAAGATGACTGTGTGTGCAAGAAAAAAGCCGTTTCTGGGCTATCCAAAAACGGTCCAACTGCTGGAGAGACTCTTTCTTGGAGGTTTCAACAAACTAAACCGTTTTGGGATACGGCCCTAGTTCCTTGAAACAAGCCACTGCTTCTGGACTCCGCCCGTTAGACCGGGAGAAAAACCACCATTCTGTCCAGACCCTACAAGCCTGAAAATGAAGGCCTCTTTAAACCGCTGGAAGACTTCTACGAATACTGCAACATCGAATTGGAGCTCGCTGAAGCAAACCTGGATCGCGTGGTCTGCAAGATCATGTCGGCTTGAACGTCGGGGTGGTTGTTTTCGTCAGGTTCGGGTGAGCTCGGATGACTTTGCCATAACTTGGCAGAAGGACGCAAGGCTTGCATTGCGTGCCATGTGCAGCATGCGGCTATGACCGACAATTCAGACCCGTTCGTTGATGGCATCGCTTGAACACGTCTGAAAAAATGCTGCCCTGACAGCCAAGTCACGCAACTGTTCCGGACGGGTGGGTGCGCTTTCGTGGCCAATGCCTCTTTGCGGATTTTGAAAGCTGCCTCAACGCCACGGGGGGAGAGGAGCTGCGACATGATTTCCCCAAAATGGAGCAATGTGGTTTGGATTCCGATCCAGCCATGCGACGCGCTTCCGCTGGGATTTCCACTCCTCTCGATAGATGCGGCGGGTGCCCATATTGGCTTGACGAAGCTCGCACAGCTTGAAGACGAACCGTTGCAACTTGGCTGCGTCCACTTCGAAGTGCGCCTGCACGCTTTGCCAGAACCGAGCATCAAGATCAGTAACAATGAAATCATCGTCTCGCGTCTGCGGTGGCGTGCGGCTTGTCTCCAAGATGGCCTCCCCAAATTGGCTGAAGCAAAGAATGCATCCGAAGACTTCATTCGCTATGCAACTGGTGTAATGGGATCCAAACATGTTGTCGGCAGGGCCAAAAATATCAGAACTGCTTTCAGCCACCAATCGCGCGCCTCCAAACAAGACAGCATTCATAACTCGGCCGCCGCCGTGTGCCGTTGACCATCTGCTCGACAGTGAGTGCATCGCAGTTGCTCTGTCGTTGTCAATGTCCAACCCTTGAACCATCAGCTTGAAGAAGGGCGCTGCGAAGGCAGTGACATTGGTCAGAACGGCCTGAAGATTCCGAGGTCCTGTAGTCGTAGTGGATTTGGTCGTTTTGCGCTTGTTCTTCGGCGCGCAGGTGAACTTCTTCTTTTTCGGACCGACTTTACGTTGTGTTTTGGAGCGGCCCTTACTTGCCCGGTCGTCACGGCTAACACCTGGAGTTTTGAGTCTGCTGCCGCTTTTCGCACAGCTCGCCGCGCGCGCTAGGCAACGCGGCCGAGAACTGGCTCCGATTTGTACGTCGTGCAGAACAGCAAGCATGAGTGTTCACGACCAAGCACACTTGGGAAACCCATCCAAAGGTCTCAGTTGGCGAAGGCCTGGGCAGTTAGCACCATCCGTTGAGCAACTTCAGACTGCATGATGCCGTCCAGTTTGCACAGTGGCAGCCGCAGGATGTTGCAGCATGTCAAGCAAAGCAGCGGCACACCGCGCTTGCCAAACCGGGCAAGCAGCAGGCTCGGATCTTAGAAATGTGCCACATGCCACATGCCTCCTCTGCCTAGCGCAACGTACTATTCGTTCCACATGCATCTCACGGCATGATAGAATGATCCTCCTGCCTGTTAAGGCATGCACATCCAAAGACGAGCAGTGACATGGGTCATTCCAATTGCATCTATGCGCCTTTCGCTTCTTGGGAACATTACATGCTGATCACAGTAGCAGCATCCGTTGAGGTAATTTTCGACTTGAAGCAATGCGACGGCGGCGGTTGCAAGTCGTGGGACTATGGAACATTTCAGGGGGCACTTTGCCCAACTATGTACACACAGAAACCATCCACCGGCGAAACTCAAAGTCAAAGTTTCCTCAGGACGGCAGCTGCATCTTCCAAAGCTCCACTCGGCCTCGCGCTTCGGTTTCATGCACTCAAAAAGGCGGAAGCTGCGGGGCCCGAGTCCGAGGGCCCGGCCTGCTGCGGTTTTGCTCTTTCCCAGAAGAAAGGCTGTCCTCCCTACTGTACAGAGGCCCCGCCACCTCCGTCAAGGTCTCAACACACTCTTGAAAAGTCTCAACCGCATGCGAGGCCGCAGGCCGTGCCTTAGCCCCAGTTCGGGCAGGTTGAAGAACCAGCCTGCTCTCGTGGCCATGCGCCGTGTGTCGAGGGGCCGAATTCATGTTGATGCGTTGCCGCGTTGCCTGATGGAAGCCACAGTGCCGAGTTGGCGACTGGCCTCCATGCATGGAGGACTCCTCACAGCTTTGGTTCTCGCATCCTCGTCATCGTGATACCACCCCTTGCAATACTAGTACGACTGTGAATACGATGAGGTCATCTGCTGCATGTGTTGACCTGCGAAGCACGACTCGAACCAGTGGTGTGCTCCCAAGCCGTCCTAGGTCACTGAGAGCAAGCAGGCCACCATCCTCACACCAGGAGGCAAGGACAAGACGGTCGAGAACAGGGTTCGGCATATGTTCAGGGTGTCGAGAGTTCTGGGTCTAGTAGCTTTCAGATTAACAACATACGTTATCTTGGCCTACCCATTCGGTCTAGTTTCGCTTCGGACATGGAGCAGACCGTGAGAAGAATCCGCATTTCTTTTTGTGTGGGTGGGCTGCGGCCAGAGTTGACTGTTCAGGAATTCCTGCGCAGAAAGAAGCTGTCGCCAAGACCCCTTCGGCTCTGGTAGGTTTGTGCCCGAAAACCCAGCGATGCCTCCAGCATATCCATCCAGTGCTGATTTCTGGCGACGGGCTGCTGGCCTAGCTCAAGGGTGGAGACCTTGCAATGCCCGATTTACGGGACAGGGGTCAAACAGGCACCAGCTCCAGCACCCCCCTCAGGTGAAGACGTATTCTGCAACAGATAGATTTCCTGAGCGACCAGAGAATGACTTCCAACATCCCGCAAAAACACATCTTCATGAGTCCCGAGCCGCTTTCCAGTGGTCGATATAGGGCTGGGCCGGCAGACAACTGAGAAGGCACAATGCAGCTCACGAGGGCACGCAGTACAAGATGCTTCCGAATTGCAGCCGCTGAGTCTTAGACATCCTTCGACCTTTTCGCCCAAAGCCCGGAAGCATCGCTGGATGCGGCCACGTGGGAAGCATCGCCGCGCAGGTGAAGCCTGCGAGACAGCCCAGCCCATGTGAGACCCGCTGTACTCAGACTCAGACTATCCAAAAGCTAGAAAACAGAATCTCCGAGCGTTCACATGCAGTTTCTCTACCTCCCTGACAGCAAGATGTACTAGTACCGTCGTGATATGGCCTCTGCGTGGTGTTGTTGCAGAGTAAGACGTTGCCATCCACACCCACAAGCATCGGGAGACAAGCCTCGCAAAAGCTGCTGAGGTGAGCATTCTGCACTGTGAACCAGAAATTGTTGATTGCCGATAGGACGAGTAGACGAATTGAGGTCCTAGATGATGCCAAGAACCAGGAACTAAAAACAACATGGAGGCGCGCAGGTCAAGACCCACATGCACGATTGGGGCCGCGCCTCCTTGCGAGTCACATCAGAGCATCGCAGGGAAATTCCACGCAGCCCAGAGGAATGAAACCTTGCCCCAATGTGCACAGACTCTGATTGGAGCTTTGGTAGGCTGTCGACCGTAAATCCACTACACCATCTTGAACATGCAGTGGCCGACGAACATCTGCAGCCAAGTGGCTCTGGTGCTTTTGACAAGCACGCTGCCTCTACAAGCGCGCGTGGTGACACCAGAGGTCTGCACAACTTCTTGCAGCCCCGGCTTCATGTCGCCCCCGGGCTCTTTCGATGTCGCTTACAGAAGAGGAATGCGAATCAAAACATGCTTAAAGTTTCTGAACACGGACATGAAACGAAGCCGAATTACAAACACGCCAGGAGAGACCGCCCTTAATGCACAGGATATAGTATGATGTGGTGTTCAACGGAACTTCTCACACCGGTTTCTTGCGAACGGAAAAACTACTTCAGCTTATGTGCCTGCAGCATTGGTCGTGTTCGAACGAAAGCTTGGTCCGTGCAACACGCAGACGAACCTGACGATCCTTGGACTGTGGCCGAAACCCAGGCATGGCCCGTAGGAAATTCAGCTCAAGTCAAGCCGGGCCAGGTCTTTCTATGTGCGAAAACAGCTATCGCCTCAATCCTCTCAAGCTCTCGAGGGCTTGTCATTGAGGTTGCTTGAACGAAGCCATGCCTCCTGAGGACTCGTGCGAACGGTCCAGCTCTGGTTGGCGACCAGCTGGTGGACCTTTTGCGAGAGCAAAACAATGCTTCAGGCCTGACGCGAACAAAACACGCATGCATGACAAGCCCCCGGCGGTGTATTTCTCCACGAGCCAGAACATCGGCTGAGAACCGTCCATCTGGCACGACAGCCCTGCCGGGCCCGTGTGGCACGTTGAATTGCGTCATGTCTGTTGCAGGCTTCACGGGCAGCACGGCTCGGGCGGCCCGGGCGGCCGGCGGCCTTCGGGCTCGAAGAACTGCGGCCATGGCCCAGCAAAGACCAGGCCCAGCTCCGGGTGCGGCAGAGGTCTCGGTGGCTTCCTGGCTGAGGGCGCTTGAAGGAGTCGCGGCACGAGAAAGCACACTCGCCACCGAGCGGCAAGATGTCCACCACGTCCGTCATCAACCGCAGCACCGTCCACGCGAACCCCGCACCTCAAACCGCAATTATGGTCCAAGCCTCTCTCCGGCAGTGACGATCTCAAGAGCATGAGGAGGGCACACCAGGCCGCGATCAGGACAAGGCTTCCTTGCTGAACAGTGCTCCAAGGCAAACGTCCAGGCTCTTTCTGCCTAGTCAGCCGTCCAGACGGTAACACTTGCTCACACAGCATTGGCTGTCTTCATGATTAAGATGCTGGAGCCTGTCACGCTCATCACGACTTTCGGGCACCCGATGTGGATGGAAGCCTCCAGCAGCCGCCTTGCTTTACCAGCTCGAGTACTGTCTTTATGCCTTTTAAAGTGACAACGTGGGAGCCTCGTTTGGTCGGAAGGAGCGTTGCCGAACTTCCTTGACTTCAGGCAGTATCTCTGCAAGCTGCACGCTCAATGCCATGCCCGTGCCTCTTAGAAAAACAGCTCAATCACGAGAGCGTGTCACAGGTCCCACATGTCAGCAATGGCTCGTGACCCTACAGTATGGGTTAGGGAGGTCTCAGCATGTCGTGTAGTTCAAGCTCAAGTACCAGGGATACAGGGACGTCGAAGGCAACAGGACCCTCTGGTGATGGCGTGACTGAAGCTGAATCTAGGACTTCCAGGCTTAGGGCAGGCATACTGTTCCGGAAGACAATCTCAGCTTGCAGGCCGTGGCTCTCCTAAGGCATCTGTACTGTAGTGAGGATGATTCCGTAAAACAAACCTTCCCCAAAGCCTTCCGTGGTTGTCGACAGCTCTAGCACTCATGCAGAAAGTTAGCACATCTGTCTCCATGCAGTTCATCTCAGCTCGAACATGACTCGTTAAGTGCAGCTGCCGATTCGGTGAGCTGCACCGCTGCATCACCTCGGAGTAGCCGAGCAAGTCTGAGTTTGTGTACAAGCAGAAGCTGCTTATGTATGATACCTGCTTGATGTGTGAATAATAGAGTATTAGATGCATGCTATCCTGCATACGATGTGCACCAGTTCGAAGCAGACTTTAGCTGTAGCTTGCTCAGGTCAGGTCAGCATCACGCCGCTGAAACTGAAATGTTCCACAAGACTCGCCAGAGAAGAGAAAAGGGCCAGATAAAACCGAGATTCTGCCGCCGAAGCGTGTCTCCTGCATCTGGGGGTGGGGACACGGACGGGGCAAGATGATGTGCGAATCCCACGGTGTCCTGTGCCGAGGACGGGCCGCCAGCTTCCAAGTCCGGCCTGAGCGAGGCGACACTCGCATGGACTCTGAAAGAGCCAATTCCGCGGAGGCACGCCCCATGCCAGAGAGAGTCCACCTGGCGATCGACAAAAATCGAAACAAAATCGAAGCCCCGACCCTCCGGGACCTCGCCGGATGTTGTCGAGCTTGCAGATCCAACTGGCCTGCAGTGGCATACCGCTTTGCTGCTTGAAGCTGCGGTAGGCGGACTTGCGAGGACGAGTTGAATCCCAGCTTCGCCGGATCTGTGGTCTTACGCTCTCGATGGCCGCCTCTTTGGCTCTCACTTCCGCTTCTGCATGCAACTTCTCAATGCTGTGCTTATACTGGCGGGCCCAGTGCTGTGCTTGTGCCCTGCGGCCTTGAAAGCTGCTCAGGCGCCACGGAGCAGGACGAGGAAGAAGCGACGGAAGCAATAGACTCCTCTCAGTGTCCGACTCACGGATCTCTGCAAAGCTGCGCAGAAACTGCCTCTTCCTCCCGAGCTGGGAATTGCGACGCGAGCATCTGGACCTCTGCTTTTAGATGCTGCGACACACGAAAGCGACGGATGCGGGTCACACTTTCTCTCCTCTGACTCTGGGCCCCGAGCCTTGGCTTCCAAGCCCCCCATCCTCTGCCTGTGGCGACCCGGAGATCGAAAGAACCCTCTCCGATACGAGGCACACCCGCCCCCTTGCACACTTCACGCGTGATGGATGCTGCAGTGATTCGCTTCGGGGCGTGTAGCAAGCACTGCGGACAGGCCTGACGTCGTGCATCTCGAGGATCTTCGCCGGAGCCGGCGGCTCCGTCCAGACGATGCTGGTGTCCTGGCTCTCAGCAGTTGGTGCTCTTGCCCACACGACTTTGAAACAGTTTGGGAGAGGGCCGGCAACACTCTGACAAAGGCCTCGGAGTCCACTCGACGATAGAAGGCCATTGCATGGCCAGCTGTATTCCATTCGAGCTTCAACCAGACCTTGCTTCAATGCCAATCATGCCCTTGCCCAAGTTAGGCCTGCGTCCAAGGTGCCGAATCTGCTTGTGCCGGCAGCGTGACCTTCGCAAGTTCTGCTCTGCTACAGCCAGGGCCACAAGGACGAAGGCCAGACATGCGAGGCGCTTGCCTCCTCGGTCTCTGGAGCGGCCTCCTGGAGCTGGGCGTCCAAGCGCTCCATCAGACGTCGCATTGCCTTCACTTCCTGGGCTGTTGCCATCGCACTGACGGAGGAGGGGGGGCCCGGCCTGGCGGCCTGGCCTCCTTGTCGTAGTCCGACATGAGGCTTGCCAGCCCTTCTTGCTCGAAGCAGCAGAGGTCACGCTGCAGCTCCGCCTTCCTCAAGTGCGCCACGATGGCCACCGGAGCATTTTGGCATGCACAGAGGCATGCTCCGCCGCTTGACAGAACAGCGGAGACCAGACTGGCTTTTGAGCAGCTGCTGATAATTCCGTCGAGTCACAACTCCCGGCAGAGGCGTGCCTGCAGTTTGAGCGGTGAACAGCACGTCTGCGCACATGGCATCAAAGTCTTGGCAAGCTGCTAAGGATGTCTTAAGTCCACGTCTTCCTTCTTCAGCACCAGGAGTCGGCAGGAAGGGCACACGAACATTTTCAGAATGCAGCGGCTCCTGACATGTTACAGACACCGTCATCTTGCTCTTCCTACACTGCATGGGAGGAGCTCCTCTTCTCTGACAACGCTGAGGCGAAAAGACGCCGTGGCTCCGGTTCCAGCAGCTTCCTGTTAGGTGTTACAGAGCCTCTGACTCTGAAACATGTCAAGCCCCTGCTCATATCCAGAATTTGACTCCGTGTCTCACGCACCTTCCATGTGGATCAAGGATACTGCAACATCCCTTCGTTGGAATGGGTTAGCATCGCCCTCAGAACCTGCCTTACCGAGTCGTCCCAGCACTGAAGTTCCGCCCCTTAATAACTCGATATGAATCCCGGGTTGCTTATGTCGTTCCCACGACAGTGTGCGCTCTGCCTCCTCTACTGATCGATGTGTTTGTTGACGAGTCCAGGATATCTCCTGACGGTGCAGAATCCCACAGCGGAAAACATCTCAAAAGCGGCGAGGGCCGAGGCCCGCACCTCCTGACGTCGCGAGCTGAGCCAGCCAAAAACATCCAAGTAAAGCCTCGGAGGCAAGCAAGGAATGTGGCCCAAACATCTTGCATGGTGGCACCAGTTAAGGTCCCAGCACTGCCCGAAATGTCGTGGGCAGGGCAATGCCGTTGATGGTCTTGCCCTTGCATGTTGTTTTGAGCAGCATGTCTCCTCATCTCCAGCAACTTTTTTTAATGACAGATATCTTGTCCGATCTGTGATCAGTGTTCGTTGTGGCTTTCCTCATCTCATACCAAACACCGTCAGCCATTGAACAGGTACACAAGTCCAGATGCCTGCGCCCATAAAAGCAGCACCAACAGCCTCGTAGGCATCGATTCATGGTGGGCTTCCCGAGCTACACTGGCACTTTTTAGCCAAGTGACCACATGATGTGAAGGAAGACTGGTATAGGTACCAGCGTGTCGCCAAGAAGGTCTCAGATGGCACCGTCTCCCCCGCAGCACGAGTGCGTGAGGCAAAACCATTCAGGAATGCAAAAAGCAGAATGCGCCCAAAGAGGTTTCGTGCCGAGTTCGGCTAAACGGGGACGTGCGTTAAACTTCATACAGCAATGCTAAGAACAGGTTCCTCGTCCTCTCTGCAGGTAAGGATCTCAAATAGGTGTTCTGCCTCAGGTCTTTATCACATAATGAAAAGTTGACAGCAGCTCCAGGCACCTGTCATGTGCAGCCGAGCATCAGTGAGTGAAGAATCAAGCAGACACCAGTGATGAAGGGTGGCAGCCTTGTCTTTCATTTTCGGCAATGTCTGGCTGTAAGCCCGAACTGACCCGCATGGGTCGCGCCGAGAAACGTGTTCAACACCAGTGCCAAGATCAACGAGTAGAACGACCTGACAACCGGACCGCTGTTAAGTATGAGCGCAGTGAGTGCTAATGTAGTTGAACCACGCCGCTTGTCACCTTCCAATCCTACTGCCAAGCTCGCGGCACATAAAGGTCCAGTCTGATAAGAAGTGCCGCACACACACTGAAGATGAGTACTGAACCTCGCTCGGGATGGCCCGACCAGCGGAAACGGATGCAACGTACATGTGCAGCGATGAGACAGACTGCGGATGTCGGAAACGCCCAATCGTGCAGATGGGCCACACATCCCAGGCAGCACCGAACCATTCTCGGACACGAAGCCGATGAGGCAGGCGTAGCCAAGTTGCTGCCAGAATGGGTGCAGGGGACAGCTTGTGCCAGCATGACTCTTTATTCTGCCAGTCTTATGCGCGCTCCGCGAAGCGTTGCCTGCAGGAACTGGTTGGTGCCCAGGGCCATGCTCACCCGTGCGTATGCCTGGGTATGGCATTTGCCCCGAGCATTTTTAATGCTCCGGAATGCTCCAAAGCAACCAGATGAGTCAAACGACTCGAGGCTTGATTTTTGACGAGTTGCGTCATACGCTTGCCAGTTGGCCTGCATCCTCCTGTAAAGCTTCCTGAGTTGCGAAAGCCATGCTTTGAATGAACAGTCTGCAGCTGGAGGTAATTACTGGAAGGAGATGCCAGCGAACCCTTCGCGTTCATCCGAGCTACACGTGGCTGAGGGTGTCGGTGGCCACTGGCTGCCCCGCGGAGTCCAGCATGGTCTCCTGCCCGAAGGCTGAGCATGTCTCAACCAAGTCTGCGCACGTCCGTATGCAGCCGTCCGGACAAGCAATACAAACAATTCAGCATGCATGCTTTGGTTCTGCCTCTGCCGCAGCATCATTGGAAATGTCTGCGCTTGCATCCGCCGCAGTTTCCTACAGCAGTCACTTTCCGCGAGACCACGGTTGGCCGTCACATGCAAGAGCCAACCCGGTCCTCGAAGGCTTCCTGATCTACGATTCTTTGCAACCTCGCAGCAGCACACTTACAGTCTTCTCCCTGGCGAATCTACTGCATACGTCCGCATGCATCAGTCATGCGGTCAGCGGAAGGCGAGCGGAAGCTTGCAGATGCATAGCAGCTTCTGGAAGGCAGGTCGAACAATTCGGCACCAATCTTCAAAAAAAGGCGGCCCCTCACAAGTGGCACCTAAGCCAAGTCGGTGAAGGTGTCCCCGCGAACGTCTCCAGCTTCATCACATGATGTATATTGGACATGTTGTTGAATTCACAGTCGCCCTCTGCGGTCCATTCACCGATCGGCCGCAAGCCCTGTAGGCCCTATGTGGGATCACTTCGGGACGCACACTTGTTCAAGTCCGAGGGGCTTTTTGAGCTGCTCTTTTACCACCGGCACTCGGAACATCTCCCTGCGAACCAGCACTGACAGCACCGGCCAGTCCAAGCATGTCCGCATACTTGACAGATTCTCATGATTCTCATGCGACATGTTACCTCTCCTCGCACCAACAGCCCATCCGGCTGCGAGCTGCCTTGGAGGGCCTGCTTGACAGCACATTGCGCCTCGTCTGAGCACCCTCGAAGTCTGTCGCCAGCACACGCGCTGCATCCATTTGCTCCTGACATGTCATGCTTCCGACTACGATGCACGGGGCATTGTGGGCGTGTGACTCCCAGCCGTCCTTGCTGGGGATGGGTAAACGAACAAGCTGCCTCACGGATGTGCGAGGGTGCAGCCGGTGCCGTAGATGCTTCCAGGGTTGAAGAGAGCAAGACTTTCTTTCAAGCGGTCCCTCGGCCGAGTGGCGTCAGCATCCGCACACAGAAGGAGTGGGAGCAGATTGAGGCATGCATCGCAAGCCTCGAGAACTCCAAGGTGCCAGCTTTATCTGTATGTAAAGCTGCGGTGAATTGATGTCTTCGCCGAGTCACCAGATGCAAAGTGTTATGTACCTGACAACCGGCTTGTTGTACGGGCACCTCAAAGCTTACCTCCTCTCTGCCTGGAGTACACGTCAAGATGACTGCAGGCAAAGGGCATCATCGAACCAACTCCGGTGGCTGCCCACCTTTGAAGTTTATGAAATTGTCGGAAGAGTTGTGCGCTTGCGATCTTCGCATGGCTGGCAGACGAGGCTGTTTGACGAATTAGCAGGCCGCCAAGCTCCGCATGGGCGCGGTGAACGACTGGATCGTGCCGAGTGTGTGTCCATTGCGCCCAGTGCAGCCGTGGCACAAAAACAGCAGCCACGGAGGAGACACGCCAGGTTGCGGACGTCCCTCGGTGAAGAGCACCACGACGAGACCAATCTCCAGGGTAAGGGACACGTGCTTGCCCCAATTTCACCCAGGCGAAGGTGAGGATGAGGGTGAGAGTGAGGATGAGGATGAGGGTGAGGGTGACGGTTGCTCACGTGGATCGGCCCGAGAAACCTCAGCAGCAGTAAGGTGAGCGCGACAATGAGGGTGAGGAGTAAGGAGTGAGGAGCGAGGAGTGAAGAGTGAGGAGGGAGGGTGAGGATGAGGCTGAGCGTGAGTGAGGGTGAGGATGAGAGTGAGAGTGAGGGAGTGAGGGAGTCCAATCTTTCACCCAGACAACTCACGCATGCTCTCAAAGACGGCAGCAGAAGGCATATTTCGAGCCGAGCCTGGATCGTGTTCACCTCAGCTGCGCCGTCTTAGCCAGGCCAGGCTCCGATACCAGTTATGCTACTAAGGGCAATTAAGTTCTGTGAGACGTGCACCGACCCGACTCAGCACATGAAGGCGAGTCACAATCAAGTAGTTGTCCATTTTGGCAACCGTGAGCTCCATTAAATCACGTATGTCTTCTCTGAAGAGCTCGAACTGCTTGACTCGCATTAGCTGACCTGGCACTTGGCGCTCTCGACGACACGTGAGACAAGCCATGGACAGCGGAAGCCACGCTGGTTCCACACTGACTCTGTGGACTTGCGACACCGTTTTCGAATGCGTCTGCTCATGCCCATTAAAGATATGCACATAAGAGTGCTGCTGTGTTATCTTTCGTGGAGCATGTCCATGAATGTGCGTGCGCGTGCTTGCATGCGGGCATGTGCCTTCGTGCATGCCTGGTGCGAGTGTAATGCAAGCGGATGGAAGTGTAAAAGCGCAACCATAAGACCGAAGCCGTGAACCATTCCATTCCGCCCCGGCCCTTCGCCCCGCAACTTTCCCTTGCTGCGAAAATCTGGCGCTCAGATTGGCGATGAGCACCAGCAAGGAATGACGAATGACTTGTCAGCTACATACTGGCAATACACACACACACACACACACCCAATGCTGGAGACGGCTGCCCACCTTGGTACTCGCGCTTTATCCGTTGCCTGAGACTTCCAGAACATATATCCGAGCATAGCAGGCATAGCATGACAACTTCAGCACCAAAGACCCTTCATGCAGTGGGCACATGGTGCACAACCATTCTGCAGTCTGTCGTATCTGATGGACTGGTGAGGATTCTAACACATGCAGGCAGGTCGCTCGCCATCGAAAAAGAAGTTTTCTCGATTGTAGCCTCAGGTCACTCATTCCGGTCCTAGTTGTGTAGCTTCTTCTTGTTGGGACAAGGATTGGCCATCCAGCCCAAGCTGCCCTCGCTCTATGCGGTCTATGCGACTTACACCTGAAATGCAAATGCAGCTCATCAGCCGAAAAGGCCACCAGCAACACCCGCTGCAAGCATTTCCATGGCTCTCGACCTTTGCAACACTGAGGCTGCGGGTTTCACGAGGTTCGTGCTGCTTTTTGGCTATGCCTCGTTGAAGCAACGAGCCATGCAAAGGGTTGAAGAGCGGGAGTTCAGGTCAGGATAATACTGCGCTGGCAAGACAGAGTATTACCCTGTCACCGTGGCCGGGCCTGAAGCGGGCGTGAAAACGCTCCGCCACTCATCAGAAGCTGCAAACGGCTGCTACTGCGCTGGCATTACATCCTTTGCAAAACATTGCAAGAAACGCGACTTTGACTTTAACAATTCAGAGGCGAGTGCTGCTATAGCATCGGCTGGTAGGATGAATGTGACTCGGAGCTTTCATCATCTATCGGCCAAGAGTCTGAATCAAATGCTTGGTCCGTTTGGTTTCGTGTCTACCGTGCTGCGAGCCAGAATGTGCCCCGTACCGGTACCTTGGATAATCAAACTGTGCGCGTCTGTGTAGCCTACATCACACCATCTCATACGTCCTCCTAAGACGACTTGTTTTGAAGGTCCGGGCAACGTGACTCCCACGTTGACATCAACCCAAGAAACAAGGCAATGCGCGCAAATGCCAAATGAGGCCCACGTGCCTGTATTAGAGCTTCTAAGACAACATCTCTTTCTCAAAAATGACAAGTTCGCATAAAGCACGGGTTTCGGCGACACACCAACAGCGCAAACATCGCCTTGACATGGTAAGATCACGACTTGTGCAGAGGTAAAGTGCATGCCTTCGCGAACAAGTGAACTCGTAACTCCCTTTTCCTCGAAATGAAAAACTCATGCCTTTTAACCGGGAAAAGTACTTACACACCGTCACGACAACTTCCTCCCTGGTGTGGTGAGTCTGTGGCATTTTTCTCGTCCATGCCAATCCAGCTTCACGTCTGGAACGGGTCTCGAAGCGCCAAAGCCCGCTTCGCAGCTGAGATCCTGTATAAGACCCCCACCACTCCATCTCGTAGGGGTTCTGCACAGGTCATGCTGCCCATATTGGCTTTACGTGCACAACTTGAAGAAAAGCCGTTGCAACTTGGCTGCGTCCACTTCGAAGTGCGCCTGCGCGATTTGCCAGAACCGAGCATCAGGATCAGTAACAATGAAGTCATTGTCTCGTGTTGGCGGTGGCGTGCGGCTTGTCGCCAAGATGGCCTCCCCAAATTGGCTGAAGCAAAGAATGCATCCGAAGACTTCATTCGCTATGCAACTGGTGTATTGGGGGCCAAACATGTTGTCGGCAGGGCCAAAAATATCAGAACTGCTTTCAGCCACCAAGCCCGCGCCACCAAACAAGACAGCAATAATAACTCGGCCGCCGCCGTGCGCCGTTATCTTCTCGACAGTGAGTGCATCGCAGTTGATGTCCAACCCTTGAACCATCAGCTTCAAGAAGGGTGCTGCGAAGGCAGTGACATTGGTCAGGTCAGAACGGCCTGAAGATTCCGAGGTCCTGTAGTCGTAGTGGATTTGGTCGTTTTGCGCTTGTTCTTCGGTGCTCAGGTGAACTTCTTCTTTTTCGGACCGACTTTACGTTGTGTTTTGGAGCGGCCCTTGCTTGCCCCGTCGTCACGGCTAACACCTGGAGCTTTGAGTCTGCTGCCGCTTTTCGCACAGCTCGCCGCGCGCGCTGGGCAACGCGGCTGAGAACCGGCTCCCATTTGCACGTCGTGCAGAACAGCAAGCTTGAGTGTTCACGACCACGCACACTTGGGAAAACCCATCCAGAAATCTCGGTTGGCGAAGGCCTGGGCAGTTAGCACCATCCGTTGAGCAACTTCAGACTGCATGATGCCGTCCAGTTTGCACAGTGCCAGCCGCAGGATTTTGCGGCACACCGCGCTTGCCAAACCGGGCAAGCAGCAGGCTCAGGGCCGCCGCGTCAATTGCAAAGTCTGTAAGTTTGCCACTGGCGGTGCACAACTTCCGACATAAGAAACATCTGCTGAGGCCCAGCTCCGGGTGTGGCGAAACAAAATCGAAGCCCCGACCCTCCGGGACTTCGCCGGATGTTGTCGAGCTTGCAGAGCCAACTGGCCTGCAGTGGCATACCGCTTTGCTGCTTCAAGCTGCGGTAGGCGGACTTGCGAGGACGAGTTGAATCCCAGCTTCGCCGGATCTGTGGTCTTACGCTCTCGATGGCCGCCTCTTTGGCTCTCACTTCCGTTTCTGCATGCAACTTCTCAATGCCGTGCCCATACTGGCGAGGCCCAGTGCTGTGCTTGCGCCCTGCGGCCTTGAAAGCTGCTCAGGCGCCACGGAGCAGGACGAGGAAGAAGCGACGGAAGCAATAGACTCCTCTCAGTGTCCGACTCACGGATCTCTGCAAAGCTGCGCAGAAACTGCCTCTTCCTCCCGAGCTGGGAATTGCGACGCGAGCATCTGGACCTCTGCTTTTGGATGCTGCGACACACGAAAGCGACGGATGCGGGTCACGCTTTCTATCCTCTGACTCTGGGCCCCGAGCCTTGGCTTCCAAGCCCCCCATCCTCTGCCTCTCCGATACGAGGCACACCCGCCCCCTTGCACACTTCACGCGTCATGGATGCTGCAGTGATTCGCGGCGGGGCGCGTAGCACCCACTGCGGACAGGCCTGACGTCGTGCATCTCGAGGATCTTCGCTGGAGCCGGCGGCTCCGTCCAGACGATGCTGGTGTCCTGACTCTCAGCAGTTGGTGCTCTTGCCTGCACGACTTTAAAACAGTTTGAGAGAGGGCCGGCAAAACTCTGACAAAGCTCTGGCAAAGGCCTCCGAGTCCACTCGACGATAGAAGGCCATGCCATGACCAGCTGTATTCCATTCGAGCTTCAACCAGACCTTGCTTCAATGCCAATCATGGCCTTGCCTAAGTTAGGCCTGCGTCCAAGGTGCCGAATCTGCTTGTGCCGGCAGCGTGACCTTCGCAAGTTCTGCTCTGCTACAGCCAGGGCCACAATGACGAAGGCCAGACATGCGAGGCACTTGCCTCACTACTCCGAGCGATTGCCAATTTGCCCACTGAAGGCGGCTCTTTTGCAACTCCGATCCGGGCTCGTGCAGGAGAGCTTGGCTGATTCGAAGGTGCGATGAGATGACCTTGCCCTGAATTGAACCATTCAGCAGTCTCTTCACGAACCAACCTTTGCAGCCTGCATAATCCCGATGGGAAAGATGCGAGAAGCATCAACGTTGTTAACATCGATGCAAAGGTGAGACAAGCTTCAGCTCGAGAGCTGAACTAAAAAGCTAAGACACCGATAATCCCGAGATCAAAGGACATCCTCGGCCATGCAAACGCAATAAACTGAGTGGGGTTTCCAGAGCTTACACAACCCAGATCGATGCACGCCCAGCAAGTGAACAGGAGAAATTTCCGGCAGGGAAGTCTCTGCATTGATTGAGGTCCCTGCAGTGTTGCCGCCCCCCTCCTGCCAATGCTGAAGGCGATTTTGAACTGACATAGCAATGATAAATCAGTCATGCCAGGTGATTGAGGAGCGGTCCTCCAATCGACGAGAGCCTCTTGCGGGCAGCCCATCCCAAAGAAGTTGCCTCCAGGCTTCAACGTGGCACAGCTCCAAGAGCGAAAAGTGGTTGGTTCGGACGGATCCGAGCTTCGGGCAGTTCCCCTCTGCCTAAGGCAGCTGATGTCCACACCATGCATGCAGAAGCAAGTAAATTGCATGCAGAGGCAAGGACAAAGAGAAAGCATGACGGTTGTCCCCAGCGTTCCAGGGACCAGGTACAGCAATGCGGGCTGACCTGCATTGGAAGGTGCACACGACGTAGATTAATGGCACAAGTGACAAGCTTTCAGAACAAGCCAGCGGTGCCCATCTTCATGATAGACAAGGCCACGATGGTGACCTCGGCACTGTCAGTTCAGGATCTTCCTGAGTCGGTAAACTGAGCTTCAGGCGCAAAGCCCGCAGAAATATCCCAACAAAGATGGCGCAAAGTAGCCTGGCAACAATGCCCAGAACGATGAGATCCCAGCTTGGCCCGGCTGCCTTCCCAGAAGGTTCGGTGGCTCGTGAGGTCATGCCTCCGCAGGTAGGAGACCTTGCAGGATTCCGACGGTTTCGGCAGATCGTACTCAGAGACGGCCCTGTTTACCCTTTTTAGCGAATACGACTGTCTCCTTGCAAGCCGGGCATCCAGAAGGCCCGGCAAGGCAATATCGCCAAACCTCATGGATACAGGGTGCCACAATGGATCCCGCATCCCATCAGATTCAGTCATGCACCCGAGCATTCGATCGCCACCCAGGGGATCTCCAAACTGTGGTATCCTGTCGTTCAGGAGCCCAATTCTTCGGCGCCTGTGTGCAAGATCCTTCCGATGTCTACTCCTGATCAGCATGGGCACCGATTCTCCAGTCCCAGCACCGGTGGCGACGCTCACCATCACGCTCTGCTTGAACTGGTGCACTGAAATGAACACCTCAGCTGGCACGGTGCTCGTACGCAAGGCGAACTTGTCCTCGGGGCTTGTACCCAGTAGATGTCGAAGAAGAACATCGCTGTCAGGAGCACGGTCGCGGTCTTGAGGTTCGGCAACCTGTAGCGATGGGGCTGTGTGACGGTGTGCCGTCTTCCAGCGCGTTCTCTCTTGGCACGGTAGCCTCAAAGTCCTCTGCATCCAACAGAGAAACCCTGCTCCAATGATGTCCTTCCAGAGGCATCCCAGACCGTCTGCCGCGTCTGACACGCCTTTCAACAACCTGACTAAACAGATTGCCGTGACTCTTTTGACTTGTCCCTTTTCCTGGAAGGGCCACCCGTACTCGGTGTTTCTCAAGATGAACCAACACCTCCAATGGGCAGGAGGAAGTCTGTAAACTCACGTAGGCAATGTACCTTCGGACGGGCGAGAAGGGCAATCCAAGGACAGTGAACCAAACTCAGCGCAGCGCATGGCCAGTGCCACCGCCGGCACTGCTGCAATGCATTCAGCCTGGCCCAGCTGAGGCTGAAGCGAATCTTAGAACATCCACGGAGCAATGCCAGGGAGCTGTTGCTGTTGTTGGGGCATCTGCTTTTCAGTGTAGTTCTCGAAAATTGAAAACCCTCGCAAGGTGTCATTAGCAGCACGGATAGCACGGGATCCTTGCGAGTCGTTAACTCGGTGAAGGAGGCCGCAGACTTCGACCAGAGCAGACTTCTTAGAAGCAGTCGAGTCATATCCTCGAATGCGGGGTGCCTCCGTGACTGGACCCATCTGAGGCAGGTCAAACAACCGGTGCTTCAGTCTTGGAACCTTCAGCCCGCGAGTCAAAGAGAAACCGCTTCCACTCACTGCTCTGCCGGGTTCCCCAACGTAGTGATGCAGGGACATAGCGATGAACTGTGCCAGACACAGGGCACCACCTGACTAGAGCTCCAGTAGAGCGAGAGCGGCGCGGCAAGATGTGGCATCTGAGGAAGGGGCCAACACAGAAGCTGAACATGATAACATAGATCATGTATTTCCTCCCCAAGGCAGATCAGCAAAGAAGGATTGGTGAAGCAAGCATAGGCCGGGGCATGAAGAAAAAGAGGAAGACGAGCATTGCGCTTCCCACGATGCAGAAGCTGCCGGCCTAAGTGACCCCGATCTCGACGGGTGGTCTCTTCCTCTCTCACTTTCAGGGGCTTCCACCATGACGGTGTCAACTTCTTGCACTTCCTCGGCCCTGAGAGCCATAGCAATCTGCAGAGACACTAAAAATGACGGGTGAGACGGGGCTCCAGCTGCGGCGCGATGGCCGAACCGAAGCCGGTCTGCCGCATGTCCGCTGTGGAAAAGACGGTTCCGGCCTTCGTCCCGGCACAGTCCCAGTCAGCTCCGCTTGGTTTCATCTCCCTCTGGCGCTGGGCAACTGGCAGCGACTAGACCGGTGGCGATAAGGATCAAAATGAATTCCGACCTGGCAACTTGCTGCCATCTTGCAACCAGCCCAAGCATCTTCGGGCTCAAAAGATCAGCCAGGCCGGAGCAACAAGTTCATGACCGAAGGCTCATAAGCAGTCACGGAGACCACCTTGGCCAGCACTGCGACCACTGCACCCCACTGCCGTCGCACGAATGCTGACCCGCCCTCCCTGCGCCGGTTTGCCCGGTTTGAGAAGCCGGCGACGGGATCTGGTGGGAAGGACCTGGCAATTGCAACGCCCATTGCGAAGAAAGGGCTCAAGCAGTACTGTGTTGTCCAGGCTTGCAATGCTCAAGTCTCGGATGCCGGATAACACGTTTCACCCATAGCTAAATGCTTCTGATGAGTTTTGAGAATACAAATGTGTATCTTCAGCAGTCGGTGCGCGCTGCAAGTACAAATTTGCGAAGGTACAAACAAGTTTCGAACCAATGTAGTCTACATGCTGCAAGGACTCGCGTGGGAACGTTGAAGTGAGACTGTCTTGCAGGTCCGCCGTTCATCGTTCTTGCAAAGCCGCCCTGGTGAGCCTTCTGTGGAACTAATGCGTGTCTTCCAGTGCGCCGCAGTGTTTGGCTCTCAAGCCATTTCTCCTTCGGCTTACAAGGGCATCATCGCGGCCAGACATCCACGAATCAGTCTTGAGGACAGAACATTCCGCTACAGCACCACCCTGCTTTCTTTCACCGGACTGGGAGAAGAGAAGCGACTCCAGCCCACACATTAAAGCGCCTGTGGTGGGCTTGGGAACAACAGGTGGTTGACAGGCTGTCGGCAACCCCTGCACGCTAGTGGCCCATCCTTGGTCCGCGGTTTCAGCAACATACTCCCAACAGGGCTTCGTGGCGGATATCTTCGCGAAGCAGAACACAACGAGCGGTGGTCGAACGACTAGGTAACCGGCCGCTGATTGAACATGTTTGATGGCCCAAATGGATATCAACATCTGGGCTCATGAGTCAGCAATCAAATACTCGTGCCTGGAAACACGAAAAAAAAACGCATGTGCACCGTCGCTGCCACTACTGTGAAACCTCTTGGGCACAAACCCTGCTCTTGCATGCGCACGGTCGACATCCCCGGCAGCCAAAGTGTCAGAGTGGTCGCACTTTTTTTGACAATCTTACTACCAGTAATTTATTTGCTTGGCATCTGAGACCGCTGCTCCCGTTATGACCATTGCAACAATGACGGCATGACCAGCAACTCTTTCAGAATCTCAACAGGTGCAGGCCAAGGTGGCGACAACAAAAATATGCTTCAGGGGAACACAGCTGGCCAAGACGTTCTAGCGACGCACGCAGCTCAAGCTCTTTAATTGCAACGAATCAGCCATGGCTTCCACATGGTGCAGCTGCAGGTTCTTCGTCCTTTGCTTCTCATTCTTTGGGAAGTTTCGACACCGTTTCAAGACATTGCTCGTAGCATCACCTCCACCCACTTGTTGAGGACGGTGTGTTCCGCACTGCGGAGCAAAATTCTACGAGCATCAGCGTGCCGCTTGACAAGCCTCCCACGAACATCTCCATGTCGCTGCTCGTCGACACTAAGATACTATCACCGAGCAGAAAGAGCTTGAGCCGAAGTGTCTACCCCCCCTGTTCTCACTGTCCCAGTCACGGTCCCAGTTTCTTACAGTCTCACAGTTAGCATTGCAAGCCTGACATGTCTCAGCGACAACAAACGAACCTAGCAGGCCAAGCCCCGCATGACAGAACCCCTCCGGGGGCACTCTTGACTCCCCCAAGGCCGCCCATGAACCAATAGTGTTACCCTTCACCCTCAGATGTAGGTTCCTGTTGCTGGTACCTGTTCTCTGGTTTGCTGAATGACGCGGCCTGAGGTGCTCGGAGATCTTGGCCCCCATGCTCTTGCCGATCGCCACGGCAAAAACCCGCACCTCGCGCAGATTCGAATGCTAACATCCAGGACCCTAAGTCCCAATCGTCCTTCTGATCTTCCGAAGAACTATTCGAGCCGCCCATTTCGGCAACCTGAAGTGCAAGATGCTCTCTGAGCAAGATGAAGAGCGAGATGCTTCATGCCTGGTCTGTGTCAAAGGCCACCAGAATGCCAGCAGCACCTGTCACTGTTGGTGCTCCAAGCTTGTGCCGGAGATATACAAGTTCATAAGGCAACGAAAGACCAGCTGCACCTGCTTCTTGCGCATTCAGTGCCTCTGCATGCCGCTTCAGGTTATGTTGTCTTCAAGAGAACTTCACCGCACCCCGGGCGATGGGCCTTGTCCACAAAAGTGCAGTTGCCTCGTTGCACCTGAGCCGGAGCAGAGGTCTCTAGATATGTATGTTCGCCAGACGTCGACGGCAGTGATGGCAGCTGCGAGGCACGGACAAGGCTTATGACTTTCCTGGACAAGGCGGTGGGCTTACGGGCTTCACACTGGAGACGTCTGACAGACTGCCTCGTTGACGACGGAAGCTGGTAACTTGAGCAGCCTACGCTGTCCTCTTCAGGAGGAACCTCACCAGCGATCAGACATTCAACAACCACAGAGCAGACGCTCTCTTGATGGCAGGCGCCGGGCTGCTATGTCTAATTCTCCCTCGGGAGCGCCGCCACCGAAGGCACCGAAGACCCTGCGGTCTGGGACTCTCTGGCCCGCTGGCAACAAAGGCCGTCAGTGCATCAGTAAGGTCCGAGCCCGACGAACTGAGACAGATCTGAAGGCTGCTGGACCTCAGACTTCAAAGACTGAGAGGAATGGGCCGGCAGATTACCGCGCCCCTAAAAAAGATCAGCGCAAACCCCCAATGCCCAAAGCCCCCGTTGCTTTGCTCCCAACCCATCTTCTGCCCTTGCTGTTGTACGTCTGCTTGGGTAGTAGGCTGCCTAATTGGTGCTCGAAGTTGTCAATGCCACGGTGGCACCCACCTACTCCCCTCCGCACACCCGACAGGACGTGGCAGCATGAGCATCAACTCCTCCTAAGATCCCTCACGTGCATGTCGCAAGAAAGTGCAGCTCCATGCAGCTCCCGCAGGAGATGTCAGGCTACTGAGGAGCACACCTTCAATACGGCGAGCTTAGCGGCCTGCAGCACTGCACTTGAGTTGACATGCATCTATTGCCAACACAGACTTCCGATGCTGTGCGCCGCCGAACGTGGGGCATGGACGCTCTGACTCCAGATAACGCAAACTGCAAGCCACGAAGGCAACATTGCGCGTTCTTTCAACTGGCAGGCACTCCTAGGCACTCCCCCACCCCCCCTAAGGTACGCTCGGTGCGGTCTGTGGCTCCGGCTCCGACAGCGCTCCGTAGCAAAAGCCTCAAAACGCAGCAGCTGTGTACTTTTGCCACTGTGTGCACGCTGCTCCAAATGCACCGCAAGGCAGGGCCGGAAATCACGGAGGGCCGAGCACGACCGTCCAAAGACGCCAGCCATTGCGGCACATTGGCCGCCTAAGTCGATGATCCGCAGCTGGCAAAGGTTCAGGTTTGCACTGAGGCTCCGGCCAGAGGTCCAGCGTGTCTACGCCCCAAAATTGAAAAGCAAGTAAGCCAATGTCTCCGGCCAGATAGAGTGACAGCCAAGTTACTGCATGGGTCATTACGTTTCCACACTTTGCGTTGCGGAGCTGCAGCTTGGTCATGGCACCTCTTCACATCTCTCAGAAGTTGTGACCGTCGACCTGGCAGGTGCTCCAACTTCCGTGCTTCAGGATGGGAGCTGGCCTGAACGCGCACTGAGACCTCACAGCCTTTCGCGAGTGATTGCAAGTGCATCTCAGATCAAACGGCTGATCGTCGACAGCAGCTTTTGCTGCTGTGCCAGAAACAGCCGACTGCAATGACACAGCACAGCGCCCAGCGTCTGTGCCTGAGAGGGTCAAGCTGAAATTCTCAGCTCGTTACTTGGAGAGAAGAAACGCAGTTCTTCTTTGAAACTGCGTTGCCGCTCACTCTCTGCCACGAAACACACAAGGATGGTAAGAGTGGCGGCAGATGGTGAGACGTAACACACTTGGAAGCCACGGGTACTTTCTAGATCTTTGGTGGAGTTCGACCCCGAAGGGTGCCGGGGCGCAAACTCTCGAAGCATAATTCAAATGACAGTCTGTGCATGTCGGTGTGTAATCAAAGGCTGCGATTCCGGAAAGCACTCGCTTTGCAGCTTCGTGTCCAGGCACCAAATGGCATCACCCGGTCGACCCCTTTCGATTTCATACTAGTTTCTGGCTGCGCACGACGTTGCAGAGCCCGGAATTATCGGACACGATGGAGTCCGGGTGGGCACCAGAGCCGCTGAGTGCACCAATTATAGGAACCATGCCAGATCATTTGCGGGATGGACATTCAATCATCTCAGTACAAGCTGCAGCCTCGCAGGTTGGGACTACTCGTAGCCTCTTTTTCGCATCTGGCTCGAAGCAGGATTTGTTCATCTTTTTGCATCTAGCCAGGGAAGGTCAGCACTGCCCAACAGCAGGTCATCTAACTTTAACTGCTGGTGAGACGGCACCATTGCTGGCACGTTGATTGTGCATTGCTGGTCAAGCGGCGCCACATGACCTGGTCGGTGACGCGACAACAGAGTGGTGCTGACGGATAATAATCAGCGCATTCTGCCAGCATTAGTTCTTACACTGTGCGGTCTCGCTTCTCGGCCCATGTTTGCTGATGCAGAATACCGGTGTCTTTCCGGTCCTCAACCCAGCCTGAAGTCAAAAGTCCCCAGAAGCAGTACATTCCTGCACTCAACTTAACTGTGTGGGAACCGATCAACGAGCAAGGTCGTGTTCAATCGCTTCTTTTTTGTCGCGCACAGCACGACACCTCTTCCTGACCTCCACGACGTTTCCCTTAGACGTCCTACATCTGCAGCTTCTTGGCGATCCGTCGGCGAGTGCCCTGGAGAGGCAGCGATGGTCTGCTTCTTGATACAGGCGCTGCATAGGGCCCATACCTACGGGGACCGGCCGGCGAGCCCAGCAGAGCTGTGAGCCCTGAGTCAGAGGATCTCAGAGGTCCTTAGGATGGCTACCTTAGCCGGATGCCTGTTTCTTTTCCGGGAAGGGGTTTGGCCTGGCGAAGTGCCTGGCATAGACGTCGCTGAGCTCCACCGGGCCGACCGAGGCTCTCTCTCGAGTGCTGTCGTTGCAGAGCTCCATGGTCAAAGTGTAGGATTCCCTCAGCTTGTGTGATCGAAGTTGGCCTTGGACACGCAACTTATCCCTCGCAGATGCTCGCAATGGCCGACTGAGCATGAACCTGCAATGAGCCCAGACAGTCAGGGGAGCAGCAGGAGACGTTGATAATACAGGAGGCTCTTCACCCATGCCGTCGCCACAGAAAGCTGCATCCCACCAGCCGCAAAGACCATCGATCAGTGCATCCTTAGATCTTGGGGGAAACTTTAGCTCAAAGTCGATCTTGCGCCAGTCCTCTACATCCTTCGCCCCGGCAAGGTCGAGGAAATGCCCTGGGGATTCGACCGGGGCAACCAGAAGCTCGTCAGGATCCACGATGTCCAGGACAAGCTCCTTCATCTGCTGCTCGATTGCCAACGGAACGGCTGAAGTGAGATCGAGGCCCATGAAATCATCATTCTGCCAGAAACCATGCCTTGCACGAAGCTCGGCACCCAGAGTGGGATCCTCGAAGGGCGAGAGCTTCAGCCAAGCTGCTGCCGGCAGGATCAAGCCCCCGGGCTTCAAGAAGCGGCTGGCGGCATAGGTCACCGCCTGAAGGCCCAGTTCTCCCACCAAAAAGTGAGAGAAAAGCTCGGACACGATGACATCCATCCCATCTCCGAGATCCTCGAGCGTGAGCTCCTCTAGGTGTTTTGGGATCACCTCCACAGTCCCCGCAAAGCCGTTGGCTCGCACGAGCCGCGAGGCCACGCGCGCAATCTCCGGTGACCCTTCCACGGCGAAGACTTTTTTGGCGCCGTGCTTGGCAGCCAAAAGTGCAAGAAGCCCAGAGCCCGTGCCGATGTCCAGCACTGTTTTCCCTTCTAAGGTCGCCCGTGCCAATGCCTTCTCGTAGGCCTCGTTCCGTGCCCAATCCCGCAGCATGCCCTCATGATTCTTCAGCTTCCCATAGTAGTGCACATAGCCAGCCATGCGACTGAACCCACGACGACGTTGAGCACGACTGCGCACCGTGGGCACCGCCAGCTTCGTGCAAAATCGTGGGCCGAAGGCAGCCATGGATGAAGTGCAGACAACAAAGCAACGAGGCTTGCAACAGAGATCACCCCTCTACTCGAATACAGTAAGCATCTGTGCAACAAGCTGTCTCTTCGACTTTGGATGGCAGCATCTGAGCTAAATCTGGCTTTGTGCAACGAGCAGCGAGCAAAGACTCCGACGGCATCGTGATGCAGCAATGCAGCATGGTACAAACATTACACCTTCGAGACACGCATAAAGTAGGTGTGTGCCATCCGGCCTCAGGCTGCCTCAAGCTTGCCAGCACGAGCGGATGCACTTCCAGGGCGCTAAAGTCCGAAAATGTAAAATCTCAAAGTTGAAAGCTTTGCGCTCGATGTCACTCGAATGTGTTTGGTTTGGTGTGCGGCGCGCAAGTCCAACCAGGACAGGCAGAAGGCCCTGTGATCTTGAGCCAGAAATCCGTTTCGCTGGGAGAAGCGAAATCAGGCGAAGGACGGTGAGGCGCCGCGGCCTTAGGCGGAGGCACTGAGACTGTCCCTGGCCTTGGTGCATAGATATGCAATGATCTGCATGCCAAATGACGCCGACTCCAGTGCGTGGCATCGCTTCATCCGTGCTCGGGCCGCAGCAGACCGAAACATCTCTATCGAGGCCTAGGAGCGGCGATGAACAGAAAATTCCAAAAGAATGCCATGCTGGGTCCCAGGTTCCGGTGCAAAACCGAGGCTTCGGCCGCGGTGAGGATTCGTCGCAACTTCGCGCCACCATTTTACGAATCTCATCTGCCAAAATAATGCCTTAGCAAGACGGCTTTGAGCCCTCAAAACCATGGCGACTGAAACTGGGCATGCCACCAGCAAAGGCAATCCAAGGAAGCAGGACTGCTCTCATTGGTATCCAACCTCTCGTGCTGAAGCTTGCTGTGCCATCCGATAGACTTACGACTAGAGATTCGAGGCTTCACACCGGTGGAAAGGGATGGAAGCCAAATCCGGTGCCTGTCTTGAAAGCAGACTGAATGGGTGGGCAGTAGATGGCGGCCAGGCCCATCACCACCTGAGGGCCCAAAGAATGCTCTCGGACGAAGTTCTGCTTCCACTCTCTTGGCCTCCCCGACAAACATCAGGTTCAGCGTGTTGTTCGGGAAGCAGTAGGGTGTTGTGCCCAGGCCAAAGACCTGCAAGGCAAGCTGAGTCTTGTGCCTCATAGCTCCCCTTCCATACCGTGCTGAGCTGGAGACGCTTTGCATTTTGGTTGTAGTAGACACCGCCGCAGCCTTGATTACATCAGCAAGTCTGCACTCTTCTGCATTCCAATAGTCAAGGCAGGACTGCCGCAGGCCGTCTGTTCTACGACTGAGGCAGCTGGCAATTTGTCCAACCACCAGTGTCCAGTAGTAGACAGTCATGCCCATGGTATCAGTATCAAAATCCTGCGCTATGCGGCACAGGCTTCAACTAACATGACCAGCACCAGGGCGTTCCCAAGCAGCCTCCACAGTATAGTCGTTCGGGCTCTTGCCAGATGTGTACAGCTCCCACATGCCAGGAGTAGCCTGGCACCGTCTGAAGCATCTCACTCAGCTCTTGCACAACAGAGGTGCTGGTTGCATGGTTTCCTCGGCCCCTAGCCCAAAAGAACATCAGCCAGCAGAAGAGCATCTGGAATTGCCCAATGTATCCATAGCTGTAAAGCAAAACCTGCAGCGAGGAGCTGCGCTGTCCGCGATACCGACAGCAAGGACGACAAGGCTTCCGACTCTTCATATCAGGCCTTGCAGTTCACCATCTTCTCGTAGCGCGGGTGCCTCGGCTGCCGCTCCATCAGCTTGGACCTCGGGGCAGACGAAAAGCAGAGAGCAACGCAGCAAGCGCCGAGAACTCGATGCAAAGATCCGATGGCTCGGTGCCCAGCTCTGCAGGCTGCAGGGCATAGGCGATGGCCGTCCTCGCAACCGATCGGCAGCGAAGGTGAAACACCCAAGTTGTCAGGAACTCTCGTGCTTGCACTGCAAACTCCCCACAGGCGAAACTTCTAATCGACGGCGGTCCAGATATCCGTACCGATGTCGATGAGCAGCACTTGTGCCACTGTCAAAGCCTCCCAGTTGCAGAGTGTGGAAATCTTCGCCTTTGTGCCGCCTAATGATGCTGGAACTCGAGTCCCCACCTGCGGAACTCCGAACAACTCTCCGAAGGTGGGTGCGACTTGCGGGACCTCAGCGTGCGTTCCAAGTTCGATATCCACCCTGGCGGCTTTCACATCGTCGCTCACGATCGGTTCGCGCTCCTGGCTTCTGTAGCATGATGTCTACTCTGCTATCTGAGTCGAAGGCCTTGGAGCACAACGTGTACATGATGGACTTCTGCAGGTTCTCACTTGACAGGCGTCCTGCACCAAATGGCAAACGCGGTCTCCGCAGCGCAGTTTGCGTTGCAGCACCAGAGCCGAGAGAATTCGGACTCGCCTTGCTCCATACCCTTCACCACAGACGAGAAGTTGTCGTCGTGCAAGACGATGTCAGAAGCATCCTGAACTCGTAGCCGTAGCCGCATTGCAAAAGAGCGAAAGGAGGCAAAGCGCAGCCGGCCTTGGCAACTTCGGTGCCACGCTGACCCATCGCGACGCCCACCTCGCACGCTGCCGCTGCACCACCCCGGCTTGTCATCCGATTGAGACTCCACAAACCAGCTCAGGCTTTTGTCTCCGTTGATTTGCCCACAAATCCGGGGTTTCTGATGCTCGACGTTGGGGATCTGGAGACACAAGAGCCCAGTCGGCTTCTGGATGATGTTGCGCTTTCGAATCACTCGCGAAACTGTGATGCTCCTCTGAACTCGTGTACGGGACCCCTCAATCTCACCACCCTTTTGCTCGGGCAATGGAAATTCTTGTTGAATACAGCTCCAGTTGCGGTGTTCAGACCCAGCCCACAGACCATCCTACACCTCAAGTGGTGCCGAGACGGGCCAACATGGAACGGGTTAGACAGACTCCAAGCACCCAGGCCCAGCCTCCGCTTGCTTGAGTGCCGGAGCATCGTTCACGCCGTCGCCCGTCATTGCCACAATGTCGCCAATGCCATTGTATCCATACTTCTGGTAGGCCTTCAAACATGAATGAAACAGCGGGCCCGGGGCAGCTACAGGACATGCCGAAAATCTGCAAGTTGCATGACGCAGCCTGCACGATGACCTGCTTGTGAATCGGTGATACACGAGCAAACACCCTGGTGTGCTGCACGGCCTCCGAGAATGCAATGTCTTTCAACCATGCCCAACAGAATTGCATTGCCTTCTTGCTTCAGGAATGCAGCACTCAGCATTCATCAGATCTCGTTTTTGAGTGTCGCAAGTTGCTTAGCAGTCTCGTGTCGACGTTTGCTTGTGCCTTTCTCCACCACTTCACGTTGTCTTCGGGCTCGTCATCTGTGAAGTTATCGCTGCGCGGGATACGACTGTCCAACATGACCTGTAGATAGCAGGCGTCTGCATCAGCACCCAAAGCCCCCGTGGGGATAAGTTGCCGGCTCCAGTGATCACAGAGAAGTCCTCACCCTGGAGCTGCTGAGCCTGACTCGGAGACCGCACCACCTCTAGAGCCACGAAAATCACGAAACAGAACCATCCAGGGTAGAGCCTCGTGGGTGTCGTCAGCAGCAGCTCCGAGGATGTTGATGCGACCTCCAAAGGCAGGCATCGCATCGACAATAAACCTCCACGAACCCTCATGAACTCGTGTCAAACTTTGCAGCGTGCCTGCAATCGCGCGAGCCGTGTCGGGATGGTCGCCAGTTACCATAACCACCTGACGAAATGTCTCAGGTGCTTCGCTAGGGGAGCGCAGAACGACCCTTGCTCAGGCCTGTGAACGGCAAAGTTCCCTCTCTGCTCAAGATGCTCTTCGAAGCGGCCGTGCTTGTGTTAGTAGCATCTAGTAGCTACAAGACCCTCGAAGGTTCATGCCTGAAAGCACTCAGTGCTACAGCGTTGACAATGACCCTCATGGGGCCTTCACACCAGCCCGCTGCGCCATGAGGACGGCTTCGTCTACTCCCTTTTTGGGTGGGTCCTGAGGCAACGGAGCACCGTCTCTGCATGTCTCCATGAGCATTTGCGGCATCACTGCGGTATCACCGAAGTATGCTCCTCGATGCCGTACAAACCCACAAATTCGTACTCTTTCATCGGGAAGTTGCAGTCAGCGGCATTGGTGCCCTCGAACTTGCCTCCCTGACGAGACTTTGCGGTTCACACTTCACAACTTCCAAACACAACACCGCCAGCATCATGATGCACATAGCGCACCGCGGGAATGTCGCCAGCGGCAAAATCACGCTTGGCAATGCACAGCACGCGCCGCCCCTGCCGCCGTGTTGAATCACCGAGACTCTTGTGTGACAGAGAGCTCTGCGACACACGCTGCATCCGTCTTTCGCATCGATGACTTAAAACCTTGAAAGCTGTGGAAAGCTGTGAGCAGCCTGGCCCATGAGGTCCTGGAGCTGCTGCTCGATCTGGCGGAGTGCAGAAATGCTCTCGTTCCAGTTGCTCGGATTTATCCGTGGAAGTCATAGACCGCTGGATCTTCGGCATGGGTCAACGCGTTGTCCATTCTACTACCCGGGTGACAAAATATCATGTCTGCGCAGAAGCTGCCTTTCCCATGGCTGTCGCGTCTGTGCTGAGAGTTGTGTACCTCATCCCGGGCATCCATGCTGCCTTCTCGCTAGCACGTCACATTCACTGGCTCTTGAAGTTAAATGTCTTTTCTAGCTGCTGCTTCCGCACCCTCCCCCTCCTCCAACTTGCCAAAGAACAAGACACTATCCCCAAGCGCACTTGAGGACACGTTCTGGAGCTCCCTTCAAGATCTGCGCAGGGTCAAGGGATGAGCACGGTGAAGTTGTAGATTTTGACGGTTTAGGGCTAGGGAGTTTAGGGGTAGATTGGGCATCTTGGGCATGAAGCACAGAGCAAGCTCAGCGGAGGAGGCACCGCGAAGTAGCTTCCCTGGCCGGCGGTGCCGTGGATGGTTAGCATCCACCTCGGGGGAGCCGCAGCCAAGTTCGGACACGGTCCTACCCGCTCCAAGTGAGAGCTCCGAACTTGTTTTCGGAGTTGAAGGGAATCTCGAAAGCCTTGTAGTTCTCTGGCCTGCAGCTTGCGATTCCATGAGACTGCCTGTGCCCTTTGCATCAAAAAAAAGAGGCTCCGACTTCGACTTCAGAGTCGCCGTTGGCCCGGGGCCTCCGGCCACCTGCCACAAGCTCCAAGCGGCCCGGCGCAGAGCCCCCCCGAAATTCCTGAAGCAACGGCCGTCCAAACCAACCCGCAGCGGCCTCCGCACAGGCACGCAAGATGGCAACCTCCGTTGGAGACCCAGTCCTCAGTTTGCCATCATTTTTTGATTTCTGTAGAACTGCATGAAGGCCACAGGCCCACGACGAGTAGGGTGCTGTGCGAGTAGGGTTCGGACCACCGCTCTTGCCCGGCCTCCACCTCACCCAAGGCCAAGGCACGTGCACAGAGAAGCGTCTTAAGACACTTAGGGACCGGACTTTGAACTCGGCGCCGTTGTTGAGAATTCCACAAAGCTGAGCAGGACATGCAACATGAAACGCGAGAAAGCAGATTTCAACAGTTGTTGATGGAGCGAGCTGAGCCGTCGACCGAAGTTGCCTCTAAGCTCTTCATGGCATTGAACTTTCCACTCTCTTTGTCACGGTTGTAGACCTGCTCAGACACACGTCGTCGGCTTGCACGGCAGCGAAAGGACTGCACAGCCTCCAAGTTCAGACTTGCTCCAGCTATCGGCACCACCAAGTCCTTTCAGATTGCGCCCTGCTGCGGAAGAAATGAATCTAACAATCTAACCAGGCTTTGCCTGAACGGCCATCTCGCCCGTGGTCAGCGTGCCTGGAATTGAATCCAGGTGCTTTGCTTCAGATGTCCCGGTCGTTAATGAGCGAGCAAGCACCGGGCCTGTCTTGTCGGAGCAGAACACTGACACGCACCCCAAGGTCTCAACGGCGTCAATCTTGCGAACAATAACCTGGAAGCTCAATAAAGCCGCAGGCCACAGTTTCAGGCGCAGCATCCACATGTTCGGAGTCACGAAAAACCAGAAGTTTGATAATGCAGGCCAAATGGCATTTCGCGTTGCCATTTGATCCGAAGCAATCATGAGCGAGATCGTCACGGTTGGCAAAAGACCCTCCGGGACCTGCATGCCGGCGAACGAAACAAAAACTGACTCACCTGCAGGAAAGGGAGTCGGAGAGTGGATCTGAACTGGAGAGTGTGAGTGGGCGAGAGTGAGCATGCTGCAGCAATGCCTGCGCAAAGAGCGCCGCAGCGCTGTTCTGAAGAATTTCCGCCGGTCCGCGCTTCACGGGAGAAAGCAAGTTGGCCAGCAAGCTCAACAAGCCTGAGTGAACATGAGGGCCATGAGCCTAGGCTACTGTTTGGCCCGGCTTCTGTACTTCATTCAGATGCAGGCCAACGCAAATAGCAACGACGGCAATGATGTGAACCTGAAAGCAACAAACATGCACCCCACAACATGCTACAGACAATCTGTGTCTGCTGTCTGGTTGCCGGACGGCATGCTCAGTTCCGTGCAAAATGCTCTATTTGGATCTCAAGAGTCGATTTCACCCTCGACGACTTGATTCCTGACAGGCAACCGAGGATGCCGGCTTGCAGAATGAAAAGATAAGATAAAGTGCACACATCTGTCAGAGTCAGGACTAATCCTTGTGCAATCTTGCCAAGGAAGGTGGCATCGCCAGTGGCATGCACCAGGCAAGTGGCATTGCCCTGACAGCACACGGGCTGCAGCTCGGTTGTTCCATAGGAACTGCACTCCCTGCCTTGAGCACCGTTGTTCCAAAGAAGGCCAGGTTGCGTGCTTCGGGTGGTGGACATGTGACCTGAGCTCTGAGGGACTTTAGACTTCCCTTTCCTAAAAAAAGATAAATCTCTCTGAGCTCTTGGCCGGCTCCGTCTTGGTGTGCCGTGGTTCCGGCATCGACTCCCCGGTCAACGCCGAGTTGTCCACCTGCCAAAACAGGAGTAATCGGGACTCCCTCGTGCCGCCGTAGCCCCGTAGCCTCGGTCCCGTCAGTGCAGTGCAGGATGCGCACGTCCGCCGGGATCCGATCGCCGGCCTCTGACAGCCCATGCCACGTGCTGCAGACGTGAGGCTTGCAAGCGACAGCGACGGCCTGGAGGAAGATGATGTCGCCTGGGACCAGATGCAGAGGATCCACCTCCAAGTCCACGCGGCGGCCTTTGTCGATGCGTACCTCCGATCTCAGTCTGTCTTGCGTTTGCAGAGCGCAAGCGCAAGCGCTTCGGCTTGGGCGGCGCACAGCTGGCACCTTGGCAGCGGCCTCAGAGCGCGAGGGACGCGGGCGCGAGAGAGAGAGAGAGAGCGAGCGAGAGGGGCGTGTGGGAGGCGTGTGGGAGGGGTTTCTGCTGCGGCGATGCGCCGGCGACGCGCCGGCGACGCGCGGGGCTGGGCCAGGGCCAGGGCCTGCAGTTTCTGCATGGCTTCCATCTGGGACTCGGCCTGCGAGCGACGCACGTGAAGCTTTTTGCCTTTACCGGGGAGTACTCAGCTAAGGAGTTCATGAATATAGCAGATAAGTCAGATCATTCGTAACTCTTTGGGCTCGGATGGCTTCCGACTGGAGCCTTGAGCTCAGAGTACCACTGGAGCAGAGCTGCCATGACGATGACAGACCTGGCTTCGGCTTCGCTGCACGAAGTCTCAGCACGATTTTGTGTTTGTGACTCCTTGGCTGGGCGCGCGACGAAAGGATGATGGGTGTGACGTAGTCGGGGCCCTCTTCGCTGTGCGCCGCCAAGGCCTGATGCCAAGGACCCTCCAACGTCGATAAAAAAAATCTCCGGCAGAGCGCAGAAAGAGCACAACGTGACCTCCGAAGCGGCCGTGGCATTGAGGCTAGATGCCTCTGCACCTGGCACTCTCGGCAGCGGCTGTGGCTCTCCGGCTTCGGGCTGGGATGTCGCACTAATCACCGCTAACATCACCACAATTTTCCGCATGTCTATTGCTTCATCTGCTCGCTTGATCAGTATCCGACAGTATCCACGAACCATGCGTCCCAGGTGCTGCATCCAAAGCTTGGCTGAATTAGAGTTGCTGGCTCCGGTGCCTATGGGAGCAAAATCGCTCGTGTCCGCTGGAGGCTCCAATACCGGATGCAAGTTCCTAGCCAGATCCCTGTGCAACGAAGTGAGGTCCAGGCTGCTCGACTCCCCCGAGAATATGAGAATCAAAGCGACCTGCACAAGGTGACGTCAGGAGGAGCAACGCAGGCGAATCAAGCTGTGACGAACCTCAGCAGCAACACAGGACCACAGGAGGATGTTGAAAATGCCCATAAACGTCTGCCTGGCTGTCGTTTCGAGGACAGCAGTACGTAGCAGGTGAGGCACGTGTCACTACTCGCAGCGCAACACGGGCCTCAACAACTTGATCCAAATGTTTTCCCGCTTTGGCGGGGTGATCTCGTTTTTGCCATACCTGCAGGTGAAAAGCACGAGTTGTGGGCCAGCCAATACCAGCCACTGGAGGAAGTGCTTTCTCGGGCTCGCACACGTTGAAGTAGACGCGCGCTTGCTCCTCCTTCAAGCCACAAAGCCCCGTCTTGCACCTCGAACGAACGGCTTTGCGGGAACTGACGAACAGGGTGCACTCAGAGACACTGGGGCAAGAACGAACCCTCACCCAATTTGCTCTTGAAAATGGCTGAAAGCCTTCCACACAGTTGCGTGGCGGCATCAAGAGGACCGAGATGCTTGCATAGCTAGCGCATGATTTCAGCTCTCATCTGTCCCTTCCCCGAATAAGGTGCCTGTCTGGCTGAATCGTATGAACGAGAGTCTTGTAGTCCTGGGCATGCAACGCATGAAGCTCTGCAGCCGGTCCACCTGCGGCTCAAGCGCTTTGCGCTCTCTGTCCTTCTCATCCTCGGTGATGTCTTTGGGGTGGAGCCGCTTGTACCTCACAGCATTCCATACACCTTGACAGAACCATACGGCAATGCAAAAGGAACCTCTGTCGGCAGGCTTCCGCTTCGATGATGATGGCACTGGAATTGCTGATGTGACCTGTACAGATGGATCAGTACTCACCTCAACAAGCTGGTATGTCTCACTTCGGCTTCCTGGGGCATTGACTCTCCGATCTCGCGAGATTCGAAGCACTTACATTCTTCGCCTGCGAAGCATGCTTCCAGCCATCGCGTTTGTGGCAATCCACGGGTGCCGATAACTGATGCATGCTGTGCCTCATTTGTGGGCAGAATGTTACTGATCAGGAGCTCACGGTGAGAGTGCTCCATGGCGTCCTGCGGCACAGCATGTGCAACATCGCGCAGTTTCATCTATCAGCATTCGAAGGCTCGTAGAGATGCACGCTTCAGCCTTCAGACCCCGACAAAGGCAATCTCTCAACAGGAAAAGGCTGATGAGATTCAAGGGAGAACGTAGACTTGGGGCGGGGGGCCGCGGGGGGGGGGGGGGGGCATCTCGGAAGGCCACGGCCCAGTAGCACTGCGAAATCCCTCGCCCCAGCTTAAAAACTTCCAGACCGTTAGGTGCCTGGACTGTCCGCTGCCCAACATCCAACCCGCGGACTTACCAAACAAAACTGTGACTTTCCTAACCTTTCGCGACAACAAGCCTACATACTGGGTCCTGTCCGTCGCCTTGGACGGGAGCTTGCTACTTCACGTGCCAAAACGGCAGCAAAACGGCAGACGCGATTGCAGGCTGATGGAGCATCCCTCTTGAAACAGAAGTGTAACTACTCGGATTGGAGCTCCTGACAGGATGCGAAGCAGCCAAACACAGCTTGACACGAGGCACGCAAACAAGTGGCAGGCCCACCGCAGCTCGTCTTGTCATCTTGTCATCTGCACATATCTGCACCTGGGCTCACCCATATGTGCAGCTCCAACGCAAGGCTACGGTACAGCTTCCTCTCCTGCTCCATGCCAGCATGCGTTGAGTGATTCTGGTGCTCGGAGCTTGCTCTTTTGTCTGCTCCGCGAATGCCAAGCCAGCATCAGCAGCCAGTCTCAGACCTGGCGGCGAAGCACGAAGCCAGCCGAAAAGCTCCGCAAGCACAGCAGCACGAGGTAGAGCTCAGCGACCGGAGGTCCCGACTGCAACCGGCCTCGGACAGCTTTCCAGCAGCTCGAACCTCGCATCGTCATAGCAGCTCACCGGCGAAGCAACGTGGGGTAGGCAACGGCCTGGCGGGCTTCCTGAACCCCCGCGCAGCAGCAGCAGCAGCAGGCCCAAAGCGCCACGTCCTTTCTCGCAGTCGTGCATCCCGGCAACGACAGCATTTTCTCCGAAGAGATGGGGTCCTTCACCTGATCCGTTGGCTCATTTCGGATAGAGAAGAGCTTCCGCAGCTGCTGCCGGTAGTACCTGGCGCTACCATGAGATGCAAATGTACGGGCTGAGGCCGACACTCTGGTACTGAAGCTCAAAGGTCACGCAAAGACGAGTGTGCCAGCAATCCATGCCTTGGCGGGGCCAGCGGCCGACAGCTGCAGACGAAACTCCACAAAGCCGTCACTGCTTCCCGCGCTTGTGACATCTTTAAGTGATTTAAGTGACATCCCAGCTGCCACCAATCCGAGCGTGAGGTCGAAGCGGTACGCCCACCAGCAAAGGATGTTGATGACGAAGAAGAGTGAAAAGGCGGTCCAGAATCCCAGCATCCCTGTGGCATTCATGGTGTCAGCCTCTGGTCAATGCGAGCCACGGTGGGTCAGAGGTACAGTACTCCGCGCAAGTTAGAGCTAAGGCAGTGACCCATCGGCACGGCAGGCAGAGGAAACTCAAGCAGGTCACGTGCATGTCCTTCAGGCACACGTGCAGCCACGCCGAAAAGGCTCAAAAAGGAGAAGCAGGACCTCGAAAAAGTTGCAGATGCCAAACTGGAAATCATCGCTCAATTCCTCTTTCGCCTTTTGAGTCAGATAAGATATGTGAGAAGTCTTCCCACGCTTCGCATGTGGCACCGCACCTGCACTTCCACTGGAGGGTCTTTCCAGAGGTAGGCGTAGATCGCAGCACAGCAGAAGACCTCATCGCGGCGCTTTTCGGCGGTGACTATCTTGCAGGGAGAGCCGCTACGGCTCCATGTGGCCCCAGGCGGTACAGGAGTAGACGACGAAGGCGAAGGCGAGAGCGCGCAGCTGAAGCCACGCCAACATCCGCTCCTCGCAATAAAGCGGCGAAGCATGGCAGCGCGGAGGGTCCGCGGTCGCAGTCGCAGACGGCGCCTGGTCCACGAGCTGTTTGATCTCTTCGTCGGTCCTGGGGCCCACGTGCACCACCGGAAGGTCCTGCCGACGCGCAGCAGGGCAGCAGTGCGGTGGCCCTTGCCCGGCCTGGCCTGGCCTTGTCCTCCTTGGGGTCGGCGCGCTTCTGGAGGATCTGCTGCAACAGCACGGACGGGCCTCGGGCAGGGCGCCATCTCGATCTCGATCTTAACAGCAGCATCACGTCGTGACATCTTCGTACATCTTCGAGGTGCAAGCTCGCTGACCGAAGGAGTTCTGTCATGCGAGCCGTGGCAGTGAGTTCAGAGACCTGTAAGTTGCACGTGAACGTAAAAAGTCGGAGCTCGCACGTGGCTGTCGGCTTTCATGCCTCCGGCTTGGGAGCCATGGCAGGCTCTCCCCCATCGGAACCTTTAGGTCCTGTTGGGGTGAGAGCAACTTCGACTGTGTGCTGCACCGGGCCTGCAAGTGTTGCCCTCCGTGCCCAAACTCTCCATCGCAACAAGCACAAGGCGACGAAAGCGAGTCCGAGAATCACAGTCGCATCCGCTGTCAGCAACAGGCTGATCAAGCACAGCAGCCTCGAGACTACCGACATGGAATGCAAACCTGGCTTCGCGTTGCCACGGATTTCTGTGTGCCAGACCGAGACATAGTGTCGGTTGTCGACACAGCTACTACAATGTGCCGGAGGCACTCGGATGAGCCGAAAGTCAGCTGCATTGGACCGACAGTTTACGCATATCATACTTAATTGCAGCACCCATGATGCAACGCATCACAGGTCACTCCGCTTCTCGTGCAAACCGAACGAAGAGGCACCGCCACGTAGCCCTCTGCATCTCTCTTCGTCCGCGGGTGGGGTCAACCCTACAGACTCTGGCGGCTCAATAACACCCCGAGAAAGCAGGGTGGAGATGTGCAGAGATTGCAGAGCCATCCTTGGCGGCACAACCCACGTGGCTTCTGCTCAGCTCAAGCAGACTATAAACAACGGCCGGCTTTCCCCGCCAAGCGTCTGTACCAGAGACTTGCAGCTCCGCCAACCGTTGCCGCTTCTCTCGTTGCGGGCTCCTGCTGTGTGACTAGCTGAGGTCAGGATCTCTGAGAAAACATGGGGAAAACGTGTCCTCCCGCACTGGGTCTGACCTGGTCAGAGGCGAAGACTGCACATTGCAGCTTTTGAACTTCTGAGCCACCCACTCAGCTTGCCGTGGTGGCAAAGGGCGAGGGGGCAGCGCGGCCCGCGCGCCGGTGCGGAAGCAGACAGGAGCAGGCGCCTCTTGTGACCCCGCAGTGTCAATGCATCGGCGACTTCGCAGGCACTCGGGAAGTTGCCGGAAATCAACACACGCGTGCTCCACGAGGCCGGCTTCGAAATCGTGCCCCAGGATGGCAAACTTCCGCCTGGAAGGGGCAGGGAGTGTGCCCGTGCCCTCACGGGCGGGCGCCTCAACCTTATCCGACCTTTTGGCCTACAGGCTGATTGCACCTCGTCATATCCTCTAGCAGAAGGGGTGCTGATATTTGCCAAAGCCAGGAGAAGATGACGGGAGCCCGCACAATGGTCAACGTCGCCGCCATTTCCGGGTAGTTACGATTGATGGCACGGGAAAACTGCTGAAGAGCAGACATGTGCTGGAGCCACGACAAACTCACTCCATCCACGTCTACGATAGCAGAGAGCTTGACCAGGGATCGCCTTGATAATGACACTGAGCGGCAGTCCTGAAAAGCTTGCTCAATCAAAAAGATCCAAGGGTCCATGAGGTCATCAACCATGTCTTCTCTGACCGCCCCTTCCAGGTCAAATTCTCCAAGCCGCAGCACAATCACAGGACCGCCAGAGGCTGTCCGAGCAGCTATGCATCGGCCAAAGAAGTGAGGAGCCAAGGCCTTCGCCCTGTCAGTTTGTGGCTCCCAGTCCCAGACCATGTCTTTCTGCACACCCCACTCGTGCATGATCCTGTTGAGGTCGGTCTTTGCCCTCCAGTCACGTGCCTGGGTCACACGATCCTTGGCTTCCATCAGGTTTTCCGGCTTGCCCAAGAGGAAGCGGGAAAGCGTCAGAGGGTCGTCAAGTTCGAAGGACCAGTCTTCGACAAAGCGTTCCAGAGCGGCGACAGGAGCAACGAAATCCTGCTGAATCGGGATGAACCCCTGCGAAACTGCTTGAAGAGACAGCCACTGCAACAAGAAGCGAACTCTCGGTGACTTTATGCAGCTACCAGGTCCTCTGCCAAACCTGCAGCGAGAAGCCGCGCTCTGTCTGCGGCAGACACCTCGCCGTGAGTCCTCTCATGCCAGAGGCTCTCTTTCTCGATCGGGCGGAGTGCTCCGGCCAGCGCGGAGTGAGGAGCCCGTGGCGGAGCCGAGCGCATCGGCGTGTTGCGCCCGCTCAGAGCCTCAAACCATGGCTGGGGCCGAAAGGGCCGAGGGGTCCGAGGCCGACATGCGCCGACTCGCTCTCTGTGCTCCGCTCTCCTCCCGCTCTGGACTCCTCGTTACTACAGCTCTCCACGGCTTCTCTGAGCAAGAAACTCGCGACTCGCGGCCGGCACGGCAAAGCTGGACACTCCCAGAAGGACTTGGTGCTGGACACGCCCGGGACCCTTGTGGCTGAGACGCAAACCTGAACAAACGGCGAAAGGCGCAGCACGAACCCTGATTCGATGCTCTTTGCAACGTTGCTTTTACGTGGAACAGACCCAGCCTGGCGAGACCAGGCCTCTGGAGATTCACGGATGTTCGTTGGGCATCCCCGTCGCTAGCGCCGACATCAAAGAGCCGGCACAGTGGGTCCAGCTAAAACCTCTCGAGTGAGCGCTGCCACTTGCTAGTTGCCGAGCGACATGAGTGCTAGGCTGCTGAACCCTTGAAATGCATCCTTCTGCAATGTGTTGGCCTGATAGCACGGCAATCAATGAGCGGCTGGAAAGCTTGTGATGCTAAAATTTTCAAGGAATCTCGAACGATCCCGTTGGAATTGAAAAAAGGCTCGATATCGGTGTATTTTTTGCAAGTGGCCGTCATCTGCATCATCGCACTCACAGACGGCAAAGAGTGACTCGCGATTGGTTTTCGAGCACTGTTCGTCTGGATGTGATCCTTATAACAGTAGCAGCGGTGCTGGCAGTAACAGCACTGGCTGCAGTAATGGCACAGGCATCATACTCGTCGTCGTCGTCGGTGGAGACGCAGCAGCAGCAGTAGCAGCAGCAGTAGCAGCAGCAGCAGCAGCAGCAGCAGCAGCAGCAGCAGCAGCAGCAGCAGCAGCAGCAGCAGCAGCAAGCTGCAAGCGCACAGTAGTCAGGCGGAAGCACGTGCGGGACGGGAGTTGATATCCGTCAGTCTGAATGTAATGCTTTCTTGCACGAGAAACCTCGAGAACCAAGCAGAGTGTTGGCTTGGCAGCACGCCTTCTTTCTCACGCAAGGGTGTGCGAGTCTAAGAAAGAGTAGACTTGCTCTCAGCCTTACCTTCGAGACGGGATGAGAGCTTGTGCTAGATGCAGTGAATGCGGCAAACAGACCCTTTTCTGCACAAGACTGCTTACTATCCCCGTCTGCATAGTGATCGCACCTTGCATATCTTCTAGCACATGTTGCAGCTGATGTTAAATTCTCGTGTCCTGTCACCTGCATCCACCACTGCCGACGAAAATGGTGTTACTCCTGCAAGGAGTCCATATGCAGTCCATCGAACTGCAGTGCTTCTTTGGTTTCGACACATTCGCTAAAGCTACTGATGATAAACACACACTTGTATGATTTGTAGTGCAAGGTGGACACTTGCACGCGTAGTCGCAGGGTGTCGGGTGTGTGGCACCGTTACCACACAGCCACCTGGTGAGACACTGCAAACTTCGATGCTAAGTGGATGCACATGGCTGGCTATCTCTGATGTTCGCTGAAATCGGCAGGAACTGCAAAGTGATGGTGGAGTGGCAATTGGCAGCCATGACGATGGACCGCCAGCCAGTGAGAGAAATCGGATTCGGGAACTTTGCAGCGTGAGAAAAGTCAAACCTGCCGGGAAGAACTACTTATCTTCTTCTGGCAGAGAAAAGCCCGTCGTGGTCCGAGGCGACATGCCCACCTTGCCTCCTTGCCCGGGCAGGGAAATGGAGAATCACATTGCTTTAAGTCAATCCAGTTACTGGTCAATGCCGGCATTATGACATGATGCTGGCCTCTTGACATTTCACGAGGGTGAGTCACGGATGAAAGTCATGCAACTGGTCGAAATCGCTGTCTCTGCTGACTGGAGTTTGCCGTACCGTCCGCTGCAGCTTGGTTGAAGAACATCGGGGAACCATGAGGAAGTCGAAGACTGATGGCAAATTCCCAACACAAAGCTCTCTCTTAGAAACAACTTCGAGAGGCTTAAAACCGCGGATAAGCCGATTACGGGTTCCGCGCATCGGTGAGATGGAAACTCAGAATCGCTGAAGGCGTGTCTCGAACAGGTGGCCCAGTCTAAGGCCCTATAGCTGCCTTCAATGCCTCTCAAGGCCTTCAGACCTCGAGATCGGCATGAGACACTCCTCTCTCAGATAAAGTGCCTCGGAGAGGGGGCAGCGTGACAGGAGATCTGAATAGATCTGATGAACGTGCGTCGAGGCCTCGACGCCTCTCACGGAGGGCTAGGCATGGCCGAGCTACCACTGGAGGGCGTCGGGTCCTGCGAATTTGTTGACCAAAGCTTCTGAATCCAAGAGGCCGGCAGAGGCCGGGCCTGCACCGCGTGGCGCTGCCCCGGAACACTGTTCGTGGCTTGCGTCCCCGGCCTCGGCAACGCCACGTGCACCGCTCAGGGCTAGGTTACACTGCTGCGCACCGGCCTGCTCTGTTCTCCCTGTGTGGGACCTGGAGAGCTTCCACATCCTACGGCACTCCTTTCGCGACCCTTCTGTCGAGCCGGGCCTGCGGAACTCGAAGCTGCTCCCGACGAGGCAGGAGCTTGAGAGGATGAGGCGCCGCCTCAGCTTCGAATGCAACTCAAAAAGCTCAAACAGCACGGGTTGTGCGCTCGCACTTCAAGGCGAGCAGCTGGAACCTCCGCCGCTCCCGCCCCAGCCGAGCGTGCCCATGATGTTCATCCTCGGCCAAGGCCTGCTCGGACGAAAGCGAAAGCTGCTCGCGTCGCTCTCCCCACCACAACAACACAAGAAACACGACGACGACACTGGAAAGTCTGAAGACCTGGAAACAAGGCTCAAGCGCAAGGACGTGCTCAAGCCAACAGCGTTCCAGAAATGAGCATGAAGCAATCGTGCATGATCCTCTTCGTCCCTCCGTCCTTCTCCAGAAGCGACTATTGGCGGAATTGGACGTTGGCTTTGGCTGGCTTGGTGGCGCCGGCACCAGAGACCTGGTCACATCGCAACGCTGAAGGCTGCTCTGACGAGTCATCTAACACCACACACCCTTCTTCCACCATGAAATTCAGGAGTTGTGTTGAGCAGAGGCGCTGCATCTGCAGTCCATCGGCTGCAGAACCTGCCATGCCGATTGAATGCAGCACTTCCGGCTGGGTTTCCCAGATCACGCATGGTCCCTCAGCCTACTGGCTCAGAACCTGTCTCGTTCTCCGCGCCTTGATTCTGCACGGGTGCCGCCGAAGCGCCTGCGGCTGAACCAACCTGAGCGACTTCGGGAGTGGTGCAGATGCGGATGTACAGCAATGCGCAACGCATGTTATACAGTTTGGCTTGGGCACGACCCGGCCCAGGTTGGGTAGCAACGGCCTGGCACTTTGCCGACAGTCCCGGAGCATCGGAGCATCCTGCAACGCTTGCCTCCTCTGACCGCTCGGGGGCTGCTGCGGTGGGTGTGGCACATGTTCCGCTCCTGCCTCCTTGAACGGGAGAATGCAAGAGCACGGAGAAGCAATGGAACAGCTTTTGTCTTTTGCATCTTCTTGTGCGGCTGTCCTCATTCTGCCGATCGCGCGAGAAGTGCCAAGGTAGGCGCCCTTCAGCTAGTGCCGACATTTGGTTCCGCATGCGGCGAAGCGCCAGCACAGCTGGTCCGGCTACTGCCTCTCAAGCGATTCATGCAGGTTGCCGGAGGATGCGAGTGTCCAAGTCGAATCGACGTGAGCTTCAAGGCCTGGCGAGTCTCCACCTGGCTCTGTCGGCCAGGATCTGCCTGATATCCCCAAGGCCAAGGCGAAAAACCGAAGCGAGCACATGGAGTCCGGTGAGTTCTGTGCCTGAGGAGAGGAGGGTCGGGCCGAAGTCCCGAACTGAGGCACAGGACCTGCCCGAACAAAGATCTGCCTGCCTACTGTGTGTTCCTGAAGTAACAATAACTGGTCGCTTCCTCAACTAGGCTTCGACTGGTATTAGCTACTTGTCGCTGCGTCTTGGTCCTAGCAACCAGCAAGTATGCAGCCCTTGCAAACTCCGCATAGAGTCGGCCTGGACCTCGGAAGTTGAGCTCTTCGGCAATAGCTGCATGCTGTGGTGAGGGAACGCCCCGAGCGGTGGCTGGCAACTGCTCCTGGTTTCGGCTTCCAGTTAGACCTCTGCTTCAAGCTTGTGCTGTCAATGCGGCCTGCCGCCCATGGGGATGCGAATGAGCAGATGCCGCCGCCCACGCCCTGCAACGATGGCTTCATGCTGCATCCCCCATGTCGACAACGGCGTTTGCCGGGACTGTGCAGTCGCTCTGACACTGACGTCCGTGCACCTCGCAGCAGCTGCAACTCGGGCAGCACCAGCTGTCCCTCAGAATAAAACGATGTCATGCCACGCTTTCTGTGCATTGCCTGTTGGCCTGGCATCGTTGCGAGACCGAGCCGATAAGTAAGGG